AAGATAAGGTAAATTCAACCTTGTTTCACCTCTCCTCTTGCTAATCCATTTCCCTTTCTTTAGACAGGTACATTCACAGAACAGCCTGAGCAGTCACACAGGGGAAAATGGAAGGCTAACCTCCATTTCTTGTAGATACTCCTAATTTTTGACTCTTACCATACTTGGCTTTCAGGGTAGGATAAAGAAGTCCACCTTCCCTTGTCTTTCCTAGCCATCTCTACTGATTCTTTTTTGTTTATTATTTATTTATTTGATAGGCAGAGTTACAGAGAGAGGAGAGAGAGAGGGGAAGGGGAGAGAGAGAGAGAGAGAGAGAAAAAGAGAGAGAGAGAGAAAGAGAGAATCTTCCATTTTATGGCTCACTCCCCAAATGGTTGCAATGACCAGGCTGTGTCCAGGCCAAAGCAAGGAACTTGTTCTCGGTCTCCTGAGTGGGTGTAGGGGCCCAAGGATTTACACCATCTCCAGCTGCTTTCCAAGGCATATTAGCAGGGAGCTGGATTGGAAGTGGAGCAGCCAAGACTCAAACTGGTGCCTATATAGGATTCCAGAGCTGCAGGCCATTGTTGAACCTGCTATGCTAGAGTGTCAGGCCCTCTACTGATGCTTTATAGGGATGGTTGCATGTTAGTGTGTTCAGAGTAGGATTACTTTCACTGCCTCTGTTTTTGTCTACCTCTGCTTATAGGTTTTTTTTGTTTGTTTGTTTGTTTTTGACAGAGTTAGACAGTGAGAGAGAGAAACAGAGAGAAAGCTCTTTGTTCCATTGGTTCATTCCCCAAATGGCTACTACGGCCGGAACTACGCCGATCTGAAGCCAGGAGCCAGGTGCTTCCTCCTGGTCTCCCATGCAGGTGCAGGGCCCAAGCACTTGGGCCATCATCCACTGCCTTCCCAGGCCACAGCAGAGAGCTGGACTGGAAGAGGAGCAGCCGGGACTAGAACCAGCGCCCATACGAGATGCTGACACTGCAGGCAGAGGATTAACCAAGTGAGCCACGGCACGGGCCTCAGGAGTTTTTTTAAAGATGTTTAAAAATTTATTTTCTTTAAATACTTTCTTTAAAAAAAGTATTTAGAAACATTTAATTAATCTTGTTTTTAACTGAAGAAAACTTGTCAATTTGGGGTCAACACTGTGGAGTAGCTGGTAAAGTCGCTACCTTTGACACCAGCACACTATAAGGTCACCAGTTCAGAACAAGCTCCCTGACAATGGCCTGGGAAAAGCAGCAGAAATGGCCCAAATTTTGGGGTCTCTGCCACCCAAAAGGGTATCTAATGAGGTTCCTAGCTCCTGGCTTTGGCCTGACCCACCCTTGGCCATTGTGGCCATCTGGGGAATAAACCAGCAGATGGAAGATATCCCTCTTTCTCTCTCTCTTTCTCTCTCTCTTGCTCTTACTCACTCACTCTCACTATTTAACTGCGACTTTCAAACAAATAAATAAATATATTTTTAAAAGAAATATCAATTCTAGAATAGTAATAAATCCCAAATAAACATTCTTTGCCATAAACAAGTAAGTATCAGGTAATACTAAATATATGGAAATAAAACAAGGTAATATAATAAAGCTGACAAATTTAGAAGTTATAAATTTCTCACTGAGAACATACATAGTTGAGACCCAAATAATCACAAGGGCTGGGCAGAAACCAGGCTCAGATAATTGTAGGTAGAAGAAATAAGTATTGAGTAAGTGAAAAGTTCTCAGACTGAGAATGGAACTAGAATATAGAAAGAAGGGAACTTTCAGTATGGCTGTAGAAAAATTTCACAGTGTGGAATATCTTATGTTTGGTTGCAGGTGCTTAGAGGTAACAGTAGTTTAAAATAGGATAGATCTGACTCAATTGAATGATATATTTCAAAGTAGAGTTAAAAGAATGTGCTGATTAATCTGATTAATTGGATGTGGGTACAAGCAGTAAATAAAATGAAAACTGAAAATGACACACCCTCCTCCTTTTATTTTAGTTCGAACAACTCTAAGCATACTATCGCCCACTGAAGTGACAAAGACTAGGGAGAAAAACATGCTATCTTTGCTGATTGTATCAGTCTCTCAAGTCTGCCATACAAAGTATGACAATGCTGCCATTCCTGTAAGTACAGTTATGTAGTCAACCTAAATTGGCATCTTTGAAATGATGCTTTTAAACTTTTTGGTACCTAACCCAAAGAATAGGCAACTGTGTTACTAAACAACAGTCCAAGGACCAGAACAGACCTCGTTCTGCTGCCCAACAGTGGATTCAACCACATCTATACCCTGCCAACAACAGATAAGAGAGGCAGAAAAAGGAACTGGGGGCATCAATAGATTTGCGTTTTGCTAAGGTGTTAGAATAATATGCAATATACTTGACTGGAACTTTATTAAAGTCATGACATTTTCAAGAAGGGTCATTCAGTATCATGGCCAAACCCAGATCAGTTCCAGAGGCATAGCTGGAGGGGTGAAAGAAGAAGGAATGCTATAGAAAGATCAGAAAAGGACTGGAGTCAGCTATTCCTGATAAAGAGTATAACCTAAGCTCAGCCACTGCCTTTGCTTCCAAATTAAAATGAATTCCTTTTTCCTGCAAGGTGGATTTCTTCTCCAGTCCTATACTACCTTTATTCAGCAAGAGCACTTGAAGTTAAAATTAAATTTGGAAGATCTGAAGAGAGAATTTGGACAAAGGCCAAGAGCAGTCAGAGAGTGAATGAAAATCATTTTGAAAATGCTGGTGGTGAAAAATCTGGAACAGGAAATATGTCTGGCAGCAAATCTACCCTTTGTAACAAGAAATCAAATATTTGTGAGAACATTCTTTGTTTCACAATGGATTATTTGTGTCTTTACTATTAAAGCTTTCAGGAAATATATTTATTGAGAGATAATTGCATCTCTACAATAAATCTTTAACAATACCAATGACCCTTAGTTCTGAGATATGCATTTGGTGTGGAAAGGTATAGAAAAGAAAGCATGCAGTGCATGATCTGGAAGAGAACGGAAATTTAGCTAAGCGACAAAGAACATATCTAAGAATGTAAACGCCATGCATAATTGCATAATTTGAATAATACGCAATTTGATCTAAGCTACAAATGAAATGCAAAATACTTAATATATACCAGAGAGTTGTGCTCTGAAACTGCATAACTGCCCATTGTGTGGTCATTTTCCTCACTGTCCCTTATCCCAAAGCATGGAGAAGTAATCCCATAAAGTACATTCAGGGACAAGAGTCAAAGAAAAGAAAAACTGAGGCAATATTAAGTACATGAAGAATTTGATTCTGATTGGTTTAAGAAGGAGAACAAACAGTTTTTGGGAAATGTTGGGATATTGTGGAGTTTGAAGTATAGTGGAGGTTTAAACACATGACATGGGTTCTGAGCACACAATCCTGCATTTCTTAACTTCACTGTTAGGAAAAGCAAATATGCCCCAGTCAAGTTTCTCACAGCCTCAGTTTCTTCAATTTTTGTTTATTTCCACAAATTAAATGAGATAATGTAAGGCATTCAATATAATATCTGCAAAAATCATTGGTCATTGTTTTGGTCACATCATTGGTATCTTAAAAGAAGCGTGAGCTAAATATGATGGCCTAAAAATGGATGAAGAGGGATTTGAAAATACAGATAGAGCTAAATTTGTAAACAAAATAATATAATTCTGAATAAAGTGATATTATTTAATTTTATAGTATATTGAATCTAAATTGGGAAAGAATAAAATATATTACGTTGATGTCAGATATATGAATCTTCACAAAGATAGAATGCATAATTAAAAGTTAGAAAAACTCTCTTGATTTTTTTAGAAGTATTATATTTCTAATTTTCAATAATCTAGGCATTAAAACTGCTCCCTTTCCTTTTTCTCACTATTTGGGGGCATCTTAATAACTATGCACATCTTCAAAGCAGAGTACAAACTTGGAAAAGAGGTAGAAGACAAATTAAATTTTTATGCTTGCCTAGAGAAGTGTAACACTATTGACCAACTCGGGACTTCTCTGTGGCTTCCATTGTTTCTTAATATTCCCTTGTCCCTGAATGTACTTTATGGGATTACTTCTCCATGCTTTGGGATAAGGGACAGTGAGGAAAAATGACCACACAATGGACAGTTATGCAATTTCAGAGCACAACTCTCTGGTATATATTAAGTATTTTGCATTTAATTTGTAGCTTAGTAGATCAAATTGCATATTATTCAAATTATGCAAAGCTGCACTGAAAATAAATGATGCATGTATTTCATTCCTTTTACAGGAACACTGCTAATTACTAAATGTCGGTTCCATAATTTGCAACTGGGTTAGCCACCTACATAGCATATTGTAATATACCAGTTCTATATCAATTCCAGGCAGTAAATAATCAAATATCATCTTCAAATGTACATATACAAGATAGAATCATAATCTACACTAGTGAGAAAATTGGATTATCTAATTATATTCACATTAAGTTGAAAAATCCTGGTAGTACCATCACAACTAAGTTTTATTTTAACTAATTAAAATTTTCTTCATAGTATTTTGTTGTTTGTCTTACAATTTGCAAGTATAAACACATATTTTATATATAGGGACTTAGTACATACTTTCAAATGATATTTGTGAAGAAATTAAGCCTCTAGCCTAACTTAAATGAATCTATTTTTCTTTGTTTTACTGTACTAGTATAGCAATCTGACAGGATAACAGCTGAATTTTCTTAGTAGTTCATTTAATTATATTTAGACCCATGCATTTGGGTTTACAGGCATAGGCATACAGACAATTTCCCTCAATATTCATTGCAATCTTAAGGTGTCACATTTTGAGTACACATTCCACTGCTATCATTCAAAAAATTTTAATGCATTTTGATTTGCAGAGATGGAATCAAAAGTAAGCGACAAAGACATTGGTTGAAAATAAAACATTTCTGTCTCTTCAAAGATTTTAAAAGACTAAAATATACAAAGACCTATAGCAATTGTTCTTACCTTTTTCCACTTAGCAGTGTCACATTTGAGCATTTGCATTCTTAGATGGCATCAGCACAGAATACGAGCATCTCTTTGAAATCAGATATTTTTGTGACCTGTCAGATTCTAGAGAGGATGAAAAAAAGACAGAGCAAAGTATTGAAGAATTATGGGAAATGTAGTAGGATATAGTAACTCAGTAGCAGTGATACAAGTGAAAAAGAAAGATGATAACACTGGAGATGGAGAGATCCTAACACTAGAATTTATTCTGTGTCATTGCAGTGCTTCCCTGGAAAAGGCAAATACAGGAAACAGGAAGAAATATAAAATTATATAGAAATCATTGTTACAATGCCTTTTTGGGAAAGGGATTTGCATGTAATTATGCTTCAGCCTACAATATCCAAACCAGGGCAAAACTAACCTTCCTAAGGTGCTGATTCAGTTTGTCAATCCTAATGAAAGTACTTCAGGGAGTATTAAAACTCTGGTGGTCTCTGCTCCAGGTTCCCAGAGTGTTTACTGTCTGGCTCATGCTCCATATACATGAACAAATATGACAACATATTAAAACTGAAACATATCATATAAATATGCAATTTCTGGCTTTTCTTAGAAATTGGTACACTTGCCACATGAGCCCAAATTTTCTTGTTGTCACCCTAGAATGGAATTGAGAGAAGTACATCCTTGAGAGAAGGCAAATACTCCCTACTGGCCATACTGTCCCTCTGGTCTCCCTGATATTTTGACTATCTGTGGTATTAATAGGGTGACATCAATCTTATGAATTCTCTTACAGAATATTTTTCTTCTTTTTAATTTTCTGCATTTTCTTTTCATTTTGATACCCTACCAGGAACTTGTATTATTGATACCTGTTCTTTCAGCTTCCTTTTACCCACAGTCCTTGATTAAAAGCATACTCTTCCGTCTGACCTATGTACACTCAATATTCTCGAACTGTGTTTCAGGAACTCATTCAGCAAGTGATCACTGAATGCTCACAGCGATTCTACACGCCGGTGCAGTGGTAGTGGTGTTAATGGAAGCAACACAGGGGTGAAAAGCACACAATTCTCATTCTCAAGAATCTTAGAATTTATGAAGAGTGAGAGTTTACATAGAATTTTAATTCAATCTAATGATAAGTAAGGGGGTGATCATCAAATGCTATTGGTGTAAAAATGTGCAGGATGTCAATATCAACTGAAACACTGGTTGGGACAGCTGGGCTGTTGTAATAGATGAAGTGACACCTGGACCATACTTTGAAGAACTTTATGAAGACTTGTAGATATAACATTTAATGTTTATGAAACTGAGAATATGCACAAGTCTTTGCTACTCCTTTTATTTGAGTCAATCTCTTGCTTTTAAAAAGGAAACCACCAGCATGCCTGGTTGTCCTTTTCTCTTCTGAATCTCATTTTCTCAGGATAAATATCTGGTGGTTCAGCAGTGTTTCTACTTTTCCTCTCTTTCCTTGAGACCTAGACAGGATTTAAGCAGATCAAGTGATTCTAGTTTAGCTATTCTATGAGCGAAGTATTCTTGTGCTGGTCAGTCTGGAATGATTGTGTGTTATGAGTTCTAAACAACAGCTTTGAATTACCTGTATTTTCAGATGTGTGTGTGTGTGTGTGTGTGTGTATTTAGAAGGTACAGAAATACACAATGATACAGCATGTTCAGAACTCTTAGACACATCTGAGATTTAAAAACATTGGCATTGATAATTCATTGGGTAACAGCCTGAATCATCATTATTAACCAAGATGTTTTGTTGTGGAATCACACTATGCTTTTTATCATACTCTATTTTCCATTTAATTCAGGAATGATTATCTATCCTTAGTAATTTATAGCACTCAATGGAAAATTAATGTATCCTAGCTCATTATGGTTTTAAATGATCTACCAAATATCTTGAAGAGATATATTGATAAGGGTAATTGACATAAAGATGAATGATCAGCCTTGGAGTCTGGAGTAGGGCTGGCCAAACTATCATGCTATGCTGTGGAAATGGATTTGCTATCTTTTGAGTTGAAGCAAACTCTATTTCATCGAAGTGTACTTATTCATTATATGAAACAATATTAAATCATAAAATTCACAATATGAATAAATATAAATAATATACATGTGACCTTTTTCTATCTGGTAAAAATCCTTAAATGAACTCTATAATATCCCCCTAAAAATGAACGATAAAAATAAATGATATTTTCTCAAAACTATCTCAAAATTTAGGTATTTCAGTTTTTTCTTTTCAATCTTTATGCATTAGAAAAGGTATCAAAATTTATTTTGGCCAGTGCCGTGGCTCAACGGGCTAATCCCCCGCCTAGCGGCACCAGCACACAGGGTTCTAGTCCTGGTTGGGGCGCCGAATTCTGTCCCGGTTGCCCCTCTTCCAGGCCAGCCCTCTGCTGTGGCCAGCGAGTGCAGTGGAGGATGGCCCAAGTGCTTGGGCCCTTCACCCGCATGGGAGACCAGGAGAAGCACCTGGCTCCTGCCTTCGGATTGGCGCGGTGCACGGGTCGCAGCGTGCTAGTTGTAGCGGCCATTGGAGGGTGAACCAACGGCAAAAAGGAAAACCTTTCTCTCTGTCTCTCTCTCTCACTGTCCACTCTGCCTGTCAAAATAAAAATTATTTCAAACTCAACATAGTTTCTTAACCTCTAGAAAGAATCTATTTAAACATCCTGACATTTTTAGGCTTATGTTTGTATCTCTTTTTCCAATAAATTAACTCAATTCAATGATACTAATTAATGAAATCTGATGTACTTTTAGTGAGGCGCAAGTACAGCACAATTAATATACTTGGTTCCAAATCCTAATTTGGAAGTTATCAATCAAAATATTGGAAGAAGCTTTGGCTACACCGCTTTGAAATGAGACCAAAACCTAATGGAGGAAGATTGAGTGGACAGATCCTTCCTTATCAATGCTTGGATTGTTTCATAAATTATGATTTACAATTATCATCAATAATTTTATAATTCACAGGACAGGAATTTTCACTCAGAATGCTGTCTCAATTCTTCTGCTGTTCCAACTGAATTTCTTTGTATTGTTTTGTACTATTATCTTGTTTGATCCTACTGTTTGGTAGCAATGTGTATCTTTTAAGTGTCTATTGTTAAAACATGAAACAGCTTTACTTGTGAGACATAACTGATTAGTCGAACCAGCACAAAGTGGTATTTGAGGTTGGATATAACAAAATAGAAGCAAGCAGGCATCTATTTTACAAGAAATCCATGTTTTTAATAAAACTGACTTGGTAAGTAGTAAATGCCAGAAAACTTAGATGGGCTTTCTGTGACTTTATCATAAAGTGTCCTGTTGTAATATGAAGCTCATCTTGTATCATTACATCCAGTCATATTAACAGAGTAAAATAGTAGGGAAGTTAACAGGGTAATTATTCACTTGTTATCTAGCCATATAAAAAACTCTGGCCAGGGAACTAGGGAAAGTTTGGAGCTACTCCTGTGAAAGTGAACGACAAGATATAAGCAGGGTGCAAAGGATGCAGGCACAGGAACTAAAGTTCAAGGTGAGTCCCTGGTTAGCAGCTTATGAATTTGGCATACATTTGCAAATGATTAGTATGTGCCAAGAATTCTTCTAGAGCTGGAAGAAAAAAGTGAGTAAGATATATCTCCTGTTGTGAAGGATTGAATAATTTAATGAATTACTTAGGCACTTTTACAGATTGTTATGTACAATGAAGTAAATCACAGATTGACAAAGGTACCAGAGATTATGCAGGTTTTGACAAGAGGCATCTAATTCATTTTGAAGAGTTGTGGCATAATGAGGGAGAAAGGTATTCCAAGTGAGAAAACAGAATGAACTAAGACACTGAATAGGAACCAGTGGTATTTCACTCTTGGTTGAGCGTAAAATGGAGAGGAATGTGCAGTCAGAGTGGAAGCTGATATAATATGGAGGTTTTCAGAAGAGAAGGGCTTTGTCTTCCTTTCCTAATATTGCTACCCTGTCCATGGTAAGAAATCACAGCAGGGACTTGGGAAGGTATAATAAATTTGCATTTTAATTTAATTATTCCTGCAGTTGTGTAGATGATAGATAAGAGGGGTTAAGTCTGAGGGCAAAGTTTTTAGGTTGGATATTCTAATGGTTCTTCTGGAAAAATGATGGTCTGAGGAGGATGCACCTGGCTCCTGGCTTCGGATCGGTGCAGTGCACCGGCCATAGTGGCCATGTGGGGGGTGAACCAATGGAAAAGGAAGGCCTTTCTCTCTCTCTCTCTCTCTCACTGTCTAACTCTGCCTGTCAAAAGAAAAAAAAAAAGAAAAATGATGGTCTGGCCCATGAGAATATGTTTGATTGGGATATGGATAGAGGCGGAAGCAAATCTACAGAAGAAGTAAAAGAGGAAAAATTATTTTATGCAAAAGAGTTACAGCAAGAACATATTATGTATTAAACATATCCTTTCACTTTTCCTCCAGGGCTCATGTAAACACTACATTTTCCAGCCTACATTGGTCAGTGGAATATAGGCAGAAATATTACTTCACATTTCTTTTACTGACTCATAAAAGCTTTTTTTCTTACCATCTTGTAGTCATTCTATTCATTCATCTAATTTACAGGTTTCCAAGGAGTACTTTGAGATCTCAATGTAGGGTATAGCACATGATGGAAGGAATACATATTTCCCCAAATACTCTAAGAACCAAAGCCTACAGAGGCTAAAGGTTCAGTACTGATCTTTATTGAATCTTATTTTTTTAAAAAAAATTGATATCTTTTTTTAAACTTTTATTTAATCAATATAAATTTCGGAAGTACAACTGTTAGGATTATAGCAGTTTCTCCCCCCATAATCTCCCTCCACCTGTAAACCATCCCATCTCCTACTTCCGCTCCCATCCCATTCTTCATTAAGATTCATTTTTAATTATCTTTGTATACCAAAGATCAACTAAGTATATACTAAGTAAAGATTTCAACAGATTGCACCCACACAGACACACAAAGTATAAAGTACTATTTGAATACTAGTTTTACCATTAATTCGCATAGTACAAGACATTAAGGACAGAGATCCTACATGGGGAGTAGGTTCACATTGACTCCTGCTGTTGATTTAACAATTGACAGTCTTATTTATGATGTCAGTAATCACCAGAGGCTCTTGTCATGAGCTGCCAAGGCTATGGAAGCCTCTTGAGTTCACAAACTCCGATCTTATTTAGACAAGGCCATAGTCAAAGTGGAAGTTCTCTCCTCCCTTCAAAGAAAGGTATCTCCTTTTTTGATGGCCTGTTCTTTCCGCTGGGATCTCACTTACAGAAATCTTTCATTTAGGTCATTTTTTGCCACAGTGTCTTGGCTTTCCATGCCTGAAATACTCTCATGGGCTTTTTAGCCAGATCTGAATGCCTTAAGGGCTGATTCTGAGGCCAGAGTGCTGTTTAGGACATCTGCGAATCTATGAGTCTGCTGTGTATCCTGTTTTGCATGTTGGATCATTCTCTCCTTTTTAATTCTATCAGTTATTAGTAGACACTGATCTTGTTTATGTGATACCTTTGACACTTAATCCTAGTCTATGAACAATTAAGAACTTAAACTGATCACTTTGACTAGTAAGATGGCATTGATACATGCTAACTTAATGGGATTTGGAATCCCATGGCACGTTTCTAGCTCAACCATTATGGGTAAGTCCAAGTGATTGTGTGCTGAACTGTATATCTCCTCCCTTTCTTATACTCAATATTATTTTTATCAGGGATCAATTTTCAGTTAAATTTAAACACCTAACAATAATCGTGTGTTAGTTAATGAGTTCAACCAATGGTATTAAGTAGAACAAAAAAATACTAAAGGAGTAAAATAGTAAACTGTTCCTTGACAGTCATGACAAGGGCTAATCAAGTCATTGTTTCTCATAGTGTCCGTTTCACTTCAAAAGGTTTCCTTTTAGATGCTCAATCAGTTGTCACAGATCAGGGAGAACATATGACATTTGTCCCTTTGGGACTGGCTTATTTTACTCAGCATTATGTTTTCCAGGTTCTCCATTGTTACAAATGACTGGATCTCATTTTTTTTTTACTGATGAATAGTATTCTATAGAGTACATATCCCATAATTTCTTTATCCAGTCTACTCTTGATGGGCATTTAGGTTGATTCCATGCCTTAGCTCTTGTGAACTGGACTGCAATAAACATTGAGGTACAGACAGCTCTTTTATTTGCCAATTTAATTTCCTTCGGATAAATCCTGAGGAGTGGGATGGCTGGGTCATGTGGTAGGGCTATATTCAGATTTCCGAGGAATCTCCAAACTGTCTTTCATAGTGGCTTTACCAGTGGACTATCTACTTTCAGTGAAAATCTAGAGGCTTGTGATAGGTGTGGCCAGAGAGCTCTGTTCAGTTCTTCAGTTTAAGGGTGTGCCTAAGGTGACACACCCAGGTTTGGCATGATAAATCTTCTACCTCTTTTTTTTTTTAATCAGAAAGGAAGTAATTCTGCTCAATCAAGTTCTTTTCCTCAATGGCAATCAGTGCCTGTGCGCTAGCCACAGTGGGTATTATATTCGCCTGCTTTGTCCCAAGGACCACAGAAAGGATCTATGCAGTCCTCAGTACAAGCTCAGATTCCCTTGAAATGTCTCTCACTGGGTAGCCAGGGCCACCCGAGCTTGTCGCATCTCTTACCAAGACTACTCAAAGTCTCAGCCACACCGTGAGTTCTCCCACACACCATCAGTGTTTTGTTTTGTTTTGTTTTGTTTTGTTTTGTTTTTTTTCACAGTCCCAGTTTAGAAGCTCCACACAGTTACTAGGTCTTAGTCTCCTGTTTTTACTCCTCACCAGAGTCAGGTTTCTCTGCTTGGCTGATTGCCGGGCACAGCCCTGAGCTGGTGCCGCTCTTACATATGTCCAAAATGGAGCCTGCTCTATCGGCTCGTATGCCTTTGTAAAGTTATTGGAGAGAGAGAATTGTGTCTGTACTGTCCCTTTTATTTTTTTCTCTCCTCTAGTTAGGCTGGTGTACTTTCCCCCATGGGGCCTCAAGCCTTGTTCCTTCTAGGCTCTTCCTGCTGCTTTTCCGCCAGTGTCTAGGGCTGTTGTGGTCTCGTCTCACCTCACTTTCCAGTGCTGGTTCAGAGGCTCTTGGCAGCTGGGGTCCTGAGCCATGGGTGCCCATGCCCTCTGCATAGGTCCACCATGTCTCTCTAATTATGGAGTTTCCTCTGCCTTTTTTCCCCTAACTCTTCCCTGAGACTACATTATTTCCACTTTTATTAAACTATCTTCTCCTGGTCTTTCAGTAAGCTCCCTCCCTATTCCGCCATCTTGGAACCTCCCTGATATGACATCGTTTATTTTATAACAGCAATTTATCTTAATGAATACATTGGTGAAAAAAGTAAGCCAATAGAAACATACTTTGATAGGAGAGGATTAATTCTTTTTTTTACATTATAAATTGGAGATGACTATGAAGTGATTAGCATGGGAGTCAAAAAGTCATTCAGGAAAATGGCTGATAAAAAATAGCAAATCAAGGGTGGAATTCTGGTAGTATCAAAAGTTAGTCATAAGAGGAAGAATAAATTGAGGTTAGAGAGAGATTTGAAGTCTAATAAAAAGAGATTCTAATTTTGATAAGAGTTTTACTTCTCATTTGAAATGAGAAGCCTCTGATGGTTTGAATCAAAGGAGTGATATGGTAATATTTGCATTTTATTTAGATTGTTTTAGTATGAAAAACACAGACAACATGTGTGTGTCTAAAAGCTTGGAGAAGAGACAGGAGGTACGTGCTGCTGCTGTGTTGCAACTAGCTAAGATGCTGCCTGCAATGCTGGCATCCCATGTACCAGGCTGGAGCACCCATTTGAGTCCTGGCTGCTCTGCTTCTGATATACCTCCCTGCTAACATGCTTGGGAAGGCAGTGGATGATGGCACAAGTACTTGGGCCTCTGCCACCAACTTGGGAGATACAGGTAGAGTTACAGGCTCCTGATATTGGCCTGGCCTAATCATGGCTGCTGTAGCTACATGGGAAGAAAACCAGCAGATGATTTCAGCCTCTCTCTCTCTCTCTCTCTCTCTTTCTCTCACTCTGTCTTTCAAATACATAAAAAATCTTAAAAGAAAATAAGAGTCAGGAGTCTCCTACCATGACTAGCATGAAGCTTTGTTTAAATCAAGTAAGTAAATTCCAAAGAAGAGAAAATACATTTGATGGAGGAATGATCCAAAGTGCCAAATTCAAAAGAATTCATTTTTTAAAGATTTTTTAAATTTTTTATTTATTTATTTGAGAGGTAGAGTTACAGACAGTGAGAGGAAGAATCAGAGAGAAAGGTCTTCCTTCCGTTGGTTCACTCCCCAAATGGCCACAACAGACGGAGCTGTGCCAATCTGAAGCCGGGAGCCAGGAGCTTCTTCCAGGTCTCCAATGCAGGTATAGGGGCCCAAACACTTGGGCCATATTTAGCTGCTTTCCCAGGCCATAGCAGAGAGCTCGATTGGAAGATGAGCAGCCAGGACTAGAAACCGGCACCCATATGGGATGCCGGTGCTGCAGACAGAGGGTTAACCTACTGCGCCACGGTGCCAGCCAAGAGAATTCATTTTTATAATAACAGATTTGGAAATATGGCAGCCAACATGGATTTTACCTATATTGAGATGGGGTGGATCATCACTAGGAAAGGGAAAATAAAGACTGCAAAGTAAATAAGCTTTGTGAAAATATAAGGGAAGAAACTGAACTGTAGCCAAAGGCATGCATTTAGGTTAAATGATTTCTCTGTTGATTGCTTGTTAGGATGGAAAATATGTAAACATAACTATATGCTATGAGAAAAAGTCAAAAGAGATAAATTTGGAAGAATATGCAGAGAAAAAGAAGTAAGTGAGATATGAAAGCCCCTATAGTAGTAAGGAAGTAGAATCAAAGTCCAAATTGGTGATGTAACCTGAACAGGACATGATGGATATCTTATTATCAAAGTCTAGTGGAAACAATGTGGGGACCTCCAACATAATCAATGTCTGTAGGAGTGAATATCAGAAAGGTGACATAGTTGATATCTGATTTGCTCTGTATTCTCAAGGAGAAATGAGCAATGATGTTGTACAAGGTGATGGGAAATGCATGTAAGGAATGGTCTTTCAAGGGCATCACTAATATTGTATCCAAGGACAAGTAAAAGGTACTACATGTAATACTGAATACTATTCCTTTAAAATGAAGAATATAGGACTCCAGAAACATGACTGGTATACAATTTCCAAATCTTCATTTTAGTGATTAGTTCAAGTGTTACATTTTCATTTCTTTTTTTTTCCCCAGGAGAAAGCGCCAACGCAGTCCCCCACTACCACAAATTATGCAGTTGAGTTTCCCACATTTGGGGAAATCGCAGGGGTCAGCACATCTGGAGTGTAATAGATGAGCCTCGCCCTGGGAAAACCACTGTCGTGATCATGGTATCTCCCCTTAAGTATTTTTTTTTTGACAGGTAGAGTTATAGACAGTGAAAGAGAGAGACAGAGAGAAAGGTCTTCCATCTGTTGGTTCACTCCCCAAATGGCCGCTACAGCCAGTGCTGCCATATCCGAAGTGCTCCACCGATCCGAAGCCAGCAGCCAGGTGCTTCTCCTGGTCTCCCATGAGGGTGCAGGGCCCAAGCACTTGGGCCATCCTCCTCTGCCTTCCCGGGCCACAGCAGAGAGCTGGACTGGAAGAGGAGCAACTGGGACTAGAACCCGGCGCCCATGTGGGATGCCAGCGCCACAAGGCAGAGGATTAACCAAGTGAGCCACGGTGCCGGCCAGATTATCATTTCTAAAACTAGTTATTTTGCAGTAATTTTGAGGTTTCAATGCAATCATATTTGTAATTAATTCAGTCATTTCTGAGTTGCTTTCTCTACTGACCATGTATATAAAATATTTGCAACATAATTCAACAAAAGTGAAATATACTCACATACATGAGGGCCTTTTCCTGTCTTCTCAAGTAGTGTGGGAAAATGGGTAGACAGCATATCATACCATTAGTATTTCTAATTCTCATTTCTCACATATCATCCTAAAAGAAACAATCCTTCCTGAAATAGAAAAAACAAAGAATATCAGTTTTTGTCCATGGAAGAATTTAATGAAATGAGACTTCTTACAAAATAAGTCTCAGTTGGGGCTGATGACAAACTCAGTATCACTGTGCAGATGTTAAATATCATTTCTTCTAGAGACTATTCCTGAAACATCAATGTTGAGTTGGGAATTTCTCCTCAGATTCACTCATCAATCCAAATATACATCTGATATAATATTCCTGGATATGCAATCAGACTCCTGTGTCTGCTTCCCTTAATAAACCTAGTTCATTGACAATGGGGATCATGACTTGTCCATCTATACTTCCAGAATTTTCAAGACTCTTCATATATTGCATATAAACAGCAAATGGTAATTGAAAAAAATATTAAAAGTAACTGAATTATTATTATTTAAAATAAGTGAATTACTTAATAAATAAATAGTTGAATATTCTATTATTTCTAGAAAATACATATTTCTTCAGTTTACCATCCAGCTACTGAGATAAAGCTAGTGTTTATTTCCTCAAAAGCAGAAATGGAAAAAAAAGGAAAACAAGAAAAAAGAATTTTTTTTTCTATTTTAATGAAGAACATAAGTAAGAAAATACATCTCATTTATAACTACAATAGCAGCTGTGATATCATTGTTTATTTGTTTAGAAATGATAAGGAAATTAGGAGAAATACCAAAAGTAGAATATGCTATTGCATTCAAAATAATGCTGCAATACACAATGCAATTTGCAAAAAAAAAAAAAAACAACACTTTTCAGTTAAAATTTAAACACCTAAGAATAATTGTGTGTTAATTACAGAGTTCAATCAATAGTACTAGAACAAAAAAAAAGTGATCCCTGTTAGGAATTTGGAAAACATTATGTTGAGTGAAATAAGCCAACCCCAAAGGGACAAATACCACTTGTTCTCCTTGATAGGTGACAACTAACTGAGCACCAAAAAGGAAACCTGTTAAAGTGAAATGAACACTATGAGAAACTGAGAAACGGTGGCTTGATCAGCCCTCACCCTGACTGTTGATGAGCAGCTTAATATGTTATCCCTCTTAGTATTTTTTTTGTTTGTTCTACTTAATACTTTTGGTTGAATACTGTAATCAATACACAATTCTTCTTAAGTGCTGAAACTTAACTGAAAAGTGATCACTGTTAAATATAAGAGTGGGAATAAGAGAGGGAAGAGATGTGCAATTCAGGACATGCTCAAGCTGACTTACCTCAAACAGTAGAGTTAGAAACATACCAGGGGATTCGAATTCAATCCCATCGAGGTGGCATGTACCAATGCCATCTCACTAGTCCCAGTGGTCAATTTCTGTTCACAATTGATCGTAATGATAGGACTAAGAACCAAAGGGATCACAGAAACAAGAATAGTGTCTGCAAATACTAGCTGATAGAATCAAAAAGGGAGAGAATGGTCCAACATGGGAAGTGAGATACACAGCAGACCCATAGAATGGCAAATGTCCTAACAGCACTCTGGCCTCAGAATCAGCCCTTAAGGCATGCGGATCCAGCTGAAATGCCCATGAGAGTATTTCAGGCATGGAAAGCCAAGACACTCCGGGGGAAAAAAAACCTAAATGAAAGATCTCCGTGAGTGAGATCCCATTGGAAAGAATGGGTCATCAAAGAAGGAGGTACCTTTCTTTCTCTGAAGGGAGGAGGGAACTTCCACTTTGACCATGCTTGTCTAAATATGATCAGAGTCAGTGAACTCAGGGTGCTTCCATTGCCTTGGCAGCTCATGACAAGAGCCTAGGGTGATTACTGAGGCCATAAACAAGAGTGTCAATTTGTTAAGTCAGCAACAGGAGTCACTGTGCACTTACTCCTCATGTAGGATCTTTGTCCTTAGTGTGCTGTACATTGAGATTTAATGCTATAACTAGTACTCAAACAGTATTTTTCACTTTATGTTTCTGTGTGGGAGCACACTGTTGAAATCTTTACTTAATGTATGCTAAACTGATCTTCTGCATATAAAGAGAATCGAAAATGAATCTTGATGTGAATGGAAGGGGAGAGGGAGTGGATAAGGGGAGGGTTGCGGGTTGGAGGGACATTATGGGGGGGAAGCCATTGTAATCAATATTCTGTACTTTGGAAATTTATATTCATTAAATAAAAGTTAAAAAAATAAAAATAAAAATAAAAAACTTTCTGGCTGGTTTTTTATACCTTAGAAAAGGAAACTAGAGATAACATTAAAGTCACTGAATCACAACCTAGGATGTCATTTCCTCAGCCCATAAAGCTCTGCCATAGCTTTTTTGGCTTGCTAAAGAAAGAAAAATTAAAAACGTTACTGTAGATTCTTAAGGATTTCCAAATGTTTATTTGGAATTCAGTATTTTTAAGTCTTCATTCTGATTTCAATTATAACATATGACAGAAGATATCAATTTTATAGCAAAGTCATTAGACTTTGACAGAAAATTATTAATTTTACAAAATATACTGCTTTGTAGTATTAGTAAAGAAATTATAGCTTCCTCTAATTTTTACTATTATAAACATTTTATCTCTTACTCAGATAAGTTCACTTTGACTAATTTCTTACAGTATTGAATATTCAGGGATTGTATTTATATTCAATCTTAAAAAATTGCAAATGTCCCCTAAATAGTGTTTTTAAATTAATTTCAAAATTATTGATAAGTTCAACACATCATTCAGTGCTTTCTTACTAATTCTGAATTGTTATACAATTGTACTTCTAAAAAGAATTCATGGTGTTAGTGCTGCTATACTCAGCATATCAAAATGAGACATTATATTGTAAAAAGGCATTTTTATAGGAAATGCAGGTATTAATGGAGGCACTCTACTCTGTGAACATAGCTGCTACCTCATCAATCCAAAAACAATTCTCAGCCTCATTTTTTTACTTATGAAATGATTGCAGTGTGACTTGTCCCATCTGTTCTGCTAGTTTTTATGATGATAAAACAAAAACATATTCCAAACACTATCTAAGTGGAAATAACTATTAAATACTAGATAATTTAATTTTCCCATATATTTAAAATATTTTGGAAATACTGTTTGATTTCTTGAGTGTTAGCTACATATAATTTTGTTCCATTATACTTTTGGGCTTTTCTTAACAAATAAAAACATCAATAAATATGATACACACACACACAAACAAATGTATAAGACTGCTTTTGTTTGAGGGCAGGCTTTGTGACATAGAGGATTAAGCTGCCACCTGTGATGCCAGCATTCCACATGACTACCTGTTTGAGACCCTGCTGTCCCACTTCTGATCCAGCTACCTGATTCTGTGCCTAGAAGAGCAGACAGAGATAGCCTGAATGCTTGGGTCCTTGCCACTCATGTAGGAGACCCAGATGGACTTTGAGGTTCTGGCTTCAGCCTGGCCCAGCCCTGGCTATCACCTACTTGGTGAGTGAACCATTGGATGAAAAATCTCTCTCTCTCTCTCTCTCTCTCTCTCTCTCTATATATATATATATATATATATATCTGTGTCTGCTTCTATCTCTGTTTCCCTATCTTTCTCTGCAACTCTGCCTTTCAAATAAAATAAATAATTTTAAGAGACTTCTTTTGTTTCAGATTTGTTTATTTTTGCTTTTTTTCCTTAAATACTAATTATATCGAGTAAATTAAATAAAGAGAAGTAGCAGTAAGATGCTTCTTCAACCACCAGTACTAGGCCCTGAGCTAGACTAGCATACTCTGTTGATTATAAAAGTGGAAACTTGGGGGCCCTGTGATAGCATGGTGTAGCAAGTTAAACTGCCCCCGTGATGCCAGCATCCCCTATGGGCACCTGTTTGAGACCTGGCTGCCTCACTTTTGATCAAGCTCCATGCTAATGCTCTTGAGAAAGCAGTGGAAGATGGCCCAAGTCTGGGGTCTCTGCACCAAAGTGGGAGACCCAGAAGAAGTTACTAGCTCCTAGCCTCAGCCTGGCATAGCTGCAGCTACGGAGGCCATTCGTAGGTTGAACCAGCAGTTGGAAGATATATATATATATATATATATATATATATATATATATCTGTATCTCTGCTTTGCAAATTAATAAACCTTTAAAAAAAGAATGGAAAATGGACTTATTTTAAAATACATTCTTTGTTTGACCTATGTGTAGGCTGATTTATTAAGACTAAATTTATGACATCACATTATTTATTTAAAAAGTTCTGAGTCAGCAAGATAATCCATGTACAGGTGTTTCTGATAAGTAAATTTATCATTCTACATAGCAATGTTTACAGTTGATTTCACTACTGGAAGAATGCTCTCTGAAGAGATTACTATGATGCAAATTTCCTGTTTGAAATGACTGGTATGATAAGTGAGATAATGTAGAATGCAGGGATAGGATTTAGAAAAAAATATCAGAAGCAAACACATCATTCAATATCCTTCAAGTATCCACTGACCCTCTGTTGTCTGCCAGGACTGTCAGTAACAGAATGCTAGCACCTGGGCTAACGAGGAAACTGTCAGTCGCAACTGGTCTGTGAATGGGCAGGTTGAGTCGTCATTATGTCAAGAGATCAGATGTCAAATTTTATGTTTCTTCATTTTTCACTTTATTTACCATCTTCAAGTCTTCATAAAATTATTTAAATAAAATAACCCGTTGGCACTAGGTTCCCGTGGATGCTGCTGCATCATGTTCCTACCACAAATCCGTGACTTCAAACAACAAAAATCGATTCTCCCTCCAATCTGAAGATCAGAGTTCCTATCAGCATAACTGTGCTGAAAAAAACGTGCTAGCAGGGCCATGATTTCTCTGAAGGAGAATCTGTTCTCTCTCTTCCAAATTCTAGTATGTGGTGGCAATCATTGGGTTGTGGCTACATTATTTCAATCTTCAAGGGGAACATGTTCAAATCTCATTTTGTCTTCACCTCACCCTTTCTTTCTTTGTGTCAAATCTTCCTTTGCTTCTCTCTTAAAATTATATCGGATCCATTCTGATAACCCATGATAATCTTT